CAATGACATTAGAATATATGTCTTGTATATCTGTGACACTGTAGAGTTAGACCAGCTCAAATAACTAATGGTGTATGAGTGCAATACAGTATATAACTCCAGGCTGTTGACTCATAAGATTTATTCTACTGCAATATAAATGTTCCCACTGGAGACTGTGATGAGCTGGAAACCATCTCAGGCAAAAAAAAGGTTCCTTAGTTGTGAATATTAAAGAAAGGTAATTAGCTTTTAGGTTTACTGGAGGCATGGCACATTTATGAATCGACGATTCATTAACATTAAAGGGTTTTCCCGCTAACTTGATTGAACAGTCATTTAGTATCCATTACCTGTCTGAGCATCATAGAGGCATAAGTTCCCCCTCCCCCAACCTCCCCACCCCCCAAAAAAACTGTTGAAAGACAAAACGGTCCAAGCAGGAAGAAATGTTTGAGAGGAAAGCTGATGGAGGTGTCCAATATTGGAGAGGGTTCCAATAAAATAAATAGTTACTTATTTCCACTAACATCCTACTTGCAATGGCCTGAGTCAGTAGCAGGAGGACGTAAATTTTAGATAATTTCAAGCAAAAAAGAATGAGGTTAAGATACTTTTTTTACACAAAGGGTTAACATAATGCCCTACCAAAAATTATGGTTCAAACAGAATATATAATAGGTCTTAAAAAATAATTGAATAAATATTTGAATATTTGAAAGAAACAAAATCTGAAAAGGTAAGAGGAAAGCATAGGAGAGTGATACAGTTCTAAAATTCAGAACAGACATGTGCACAATGGGCTCTTTGTGAATGGCCTCTTTTTGCACTGTAGAACAACAACAATAAATTGCGCTTTTCACATTGAGAGGGCGTCCCAAGGTGCTGGTCAGTTGAGGGTTTGCATCCAAGCTGGGGACTGGGGATAGAATCCTATGATTTTAAAATCCAAGCATATTTGGCACATTAAAACAAACTATGAATCTAAAATTTATACTTTGTTAAAAAGGACAAGAAAACACAGTAGCTGCAAATAAGCAAAAGAAGATGTTTGTGCTCATAATTGTTGCTTTTGATCTTTGGCCATGATCTTAGCTCACTAATACTCTGCATATGATGCTGAGTACTAAACAATGGCTTAATTGGTAAAAGCAATGTCTGGTATCCTACAAAATTGAGAGATATCTTAAATCCTATATGCATCTTGAGCATTGGGTTACTTGGTAGGACATGATCATGGTGCAATCAAGTGAAGTATTGTATTTTGTTTCTGTGGAGCTCAAAAAGAGACCATGATATAAGGGCATGCGTGTAATTGTGGATCAAATTGCCTCATGTGGTAACATTCTCACCTCAGAGTCAGAGGGTTGTGGGTTCAAGCCTCTCAGCATGGCTTTCCGAGTTTGTAATCTAGGCTAACATTCTAGTGCAGTGTTAGAGGAGGGCTGCATTGAGCTTCCATACTTCAGGTTGGGCTTTAAACTAGGGTTCCATCTGCTTGTTCAGGGGCATATCAATACACCATGGCACTATTCAAAAAGAGAAGGGGGTTTCTCCCAATATCCTGGCCCAAATTCCTCAGATATAATTAATGGCTGTCTGTGGGAGATCACTGTGTACAAATTGGCTGCTGCATTCGTCTGCAAAATACACAGTCACTACTTTTTACAGTATACGTGGAGTCCTGTAGCTCAGTGGTGAGAGCACTCACTCCACAAGCGAGATCTGGGTTTGATTCCCTGCAGGGCGAAATGTTACTCCACACGTCTTTGTTTACCTAGCAGTAAGTAGGAACCTAGTCGTTAGTCGATTGGCAGATCACTTTTCTGGGCAGACTTAGTCCTTCAAAATAAAAAATAAATAAATTGGTCACTTCAATCCATAACTGTTTGGGGGACATTGCTGTGCACAATTGGCTGCCCCATTTTTCCCACAAAATATGCAGTTAATTAATTTTATAGTATATTCTGTGAAGTGCTTTGAGATGACTCGAAGATGTGATAAGGCGCTATATCAAATGCAAGGATTATTATTATATCCTCTCAAGCGCTTTGAGATGTCCTCCCACATGAAAGTCACCACATCAAATTGAAAGATTATTATTACATTATTATAAGTGATGTTCTCTGCAGAATAACTTCACTTTCACCACTTAAGAAACAATTGTGCTACTATAAGGAACCAAAATTCTCCTTCTCCCATTGCTACCAATTCCTTTTGGAACTCCATCCCACAGTCTCTTCACCCATCCCCTCCTTTACCTCCTTCAAGGTCCACCTCAAGATCTTCCTCTTTGACTGCGCATTTGGTCACCCTCCTACCTCTACCCTCACTGCCCTCCACCCCTCCTGATCACAACCCTCAGCTCAGGTGCACCACCTTGATAGTTCAGGTTTTGGGATGTCCTCTCGATGTGAAAGGTCCTTTCAAATCCATGAAAATCAAACCTAAGCATAGCGCAATCTAACTCAATAGGAGACAAATGTAAATTGTATGGCATTTCATGAGGATTTTTAAATATATAGTTCATAGAGCAATACGTTACAGCCATTGAACAGATGGAATAGGATACACTGACCAGGCCAAAGAGGAATAAGGGTACGATAATCATAAATGTTCACTTTCTCTACGGACTGTTTTCCCAACACCAATCAGTCCAGGATTCCGTCGCTGTCTTTATTATTGATTTCGCTGCCTCTTCACCTTCTACTCATCCATTTTATTTCCGTCATCTCTTCTACAATCCCATTTCCTATTGCCTGACTTGTGCTCCACAGTTCAGTTTGCCTCTGTTTTCTGGCTTCGCGCTCTCACACTCCTAATCGGATGCTTACCTTAAGTGGCCAGGTAAGCATCGCCACCAATTGTTGCAGAATTCAGCTCCCACGAACAGTTTGAACAAAAACCTCAAGCCAATCTCGCCAAGACGGGTAACTCGTCTTGCAATTATCCTTCAATGTTTGGGCTCAAGCATTGGTCTAGAAATCACCAGTTTATATAATAGCAGATTTCCATCCCAGGAAAGCATTGATGGATACAGCCTTGTAAGACGATCCAAACTCCACGCTCAGCAGGAGTGTTGGTTATGTGATGGAGGTTTGGGTCGAATCATCTTTGTTTGAGTATTTGGACTGTGTTGAGGGCAGCAAATGGGGGATCTTTCAACGTCATCTCTGATGAGATGATCCTCGCTTGTGTTTAGGTGCGATGGGTTTATGCCCTATTAAAAAAAAAACGAATTACCTTTAGGGGAAATTGATGTTAGATATCTACCACTCTGCCAAGATCCCTTTCCAATACAAGTGCACGTAAAAACTTCCTGAACCTCCCGTAGCAACACAAAAGCTGGTGAAATGAACATAACAGACCACAGTGGCCAGATTTCACACAGAACACGATCAAAGGGGCTAACGTGGAAGATGGAACATCTCTCAAAGGATGAGGTCCTCAAAACTCTTCTGCCTTAGCCACCTACCACACTACGTGTGTGTGTGTGTGTTTGTGTGTGCATTGCACGTAGTTCAGAATAATACGAAGGAGAGAGAGAGAGAGAGATTTCCAGAGAGCAATTGATTCCCAAAGAGGAAAAAAAAAATGCATGCATATCATTGCACATCGTGGATTTGTTTAAACATAGCACTTGATAGGACTTTAACGTGAAAGATGGTAAGCAGAGGGAACACATATGGCAAAGGGCAGCGCAGATGTAGAGAATGGATGGGAAATAGCAAAGCAAGTAGATGAGATCAGTGATATTTTGGGTTGTTTAAAGGGGAGACGTATTTCCGGTGAGCAGAGCTCTGCTGTTTCACATTGTTCTCTCTGAACTGCCTTATTATTTCGTTTCTTTCGCTCCTGGTTTCCGGAACAGCAGGAACTCTCCACCAGCCACCAGCAGCTACCACCAGCCACCCAGCAGCCACCCAGCAGCCACCACACAGCAGCCACCACCCAGCAGCCACCATCCACCCAGCAGCCACCAGCCACCTACCAGCCACCAGCCACCCACCAGCCACCCACCAGCCACCCACCATCCACCAGCCACCAGCCACCATCCAGCAGCCACCAGCTGCCACCCACCCAGCAGCCACCAGCCACCCATCCACCCACCACTCACCACCCAGCAGCCACCAGCCAAGGTAAGGGGAAACACATCTGTAAATGTTCTCATCTGAAAACATCAATGGCAATCAAAGAGCTGTTATCATTCTCCCCTCACAGAGAACTGTGCAGAGTTTACCCACTTTTCTGTATATGACCTTCGTTATATATATATATATATATATATATATATATGTGTGTGTGTGTGTGTGTGTGATTTCTTAGAAAGATTTTAGATTTACGTGAATCGGTAGAGTAGGGGTTTGGTCTCCGCGTTCCCCAGAGCAAAAACTGATTGTTTTGCCAGTTTTAATGAACGTCGGTTGTTAAGAGTGCGAGTGACTTCTGTCTCCCGTGTAGGACGTGAGAGAAAGAAATGAGCCAGACATGACTTTATTCCCCACCCCCCAACACCCCCCCCAACACCCCCCCCCCCCCCCCCCCCCCCCCCCCCCCCCCCACCCCCCCAACACCCACCCCCCATCCAACTAGTACACTGAATGCAGTTGGACGGGTCCTGTCTGGGTGGTGACCGCTGTCTTTTTAAACATCACGTCCAGGACTTTTGTGAAATCACAAAAAGTGATTGAGCGATTGATCGCAGAGACTGAGCCACGACTGAGAGAGTTGCCACTGAATCCCCAATGAAGGTAGAGACGTGTTGTGGATGGTCTGAGGCGCAGAGGATGCGGCGTTGCTGTTGTAGAACAGCACAGAAGCGTTTGACTTGTGCGTCTCGATAGAAACCCGCGGTCGGTCCCTGGTTTGCCCCCCGGGGCCATCATGTTTGACCGCTCCCCCCCCCCCCCCCCCCCCACCCCCACCCAAAATATAAACTACTTTCGTTGGGACACAGCACTGACTGCGTTCGCCACAGGGACTGAGTTAAGTCGGACAAAGGGGGTTTGAGCTTAACGTGAATCAGAAGCAACTGAGGAGGGTCGACCTGTCTGTCAGGGAGTGAGTGAGTGAGTGAGTGAGTGGCACAGGGGTTACATTTGGTTGAAGGTGATTGGTTTTCTCAGCGTTACTCCCAGGCGACAGCATCGGGGCACAGGGTTATGAATAGGACCAACGCGCACAGACGCATTACACACACCACCTTCGGTGGAGGTGAGAGCGGGTCCTGCACTTCCTTCCCTCTCTTTGCGTTGCTTCTTTTTCTCGTTGTTGTTTGCCTCGCAAGGAGAGAAAAAAAAGGGGGGCAGGCAGGCAATCTCGCGACGTGCCTTTCCTCCTCCTTCCCTCCCTCCCTCCCTCCCTCCCTCCCTTCCTTCCTTCCCTCCTTCCTTCCTCCCTTCCCCTCTTTTACAGCCCGGACTCGCCTGAACGCGGGCGAAGTGCAACAGTGCACCAGAGTCGGCGGTGTTGTCGTGGGTGATTTACGCAGCGGTTTTTGGGGGGGAGGAGAGGGAGAGGGAGAGGGAGGGGGGGGGGGTCCCGCGGTGTGCGGTTCGGTGGGTGTACACGGAACTTGCATTTTGCCTGTTCTTGGGTCCCTTTCGCAGGCGATTCCGAGGAGACCGGGAGGGGGTTATTCGGTCCGACTGGCGCGGTGCTAAGGTCCACCCATCCGTTTGGAGGAGCTCGGCACACGTCCACCCGCTCCGCCCGACAGATCCCTCGATGGGCGCCCGGATCCACAAGGATTTGCCGCTGTCTTTGTCCTCTTGCGCTGGAAACAGGAACTCTTCCCAAAGCAGCAACGGGACGTGCGCGACCGAGGTGGAGAGGCTAACCCAGTCGTTCTCGGCCACCCTGGTGCTGATCGTGTTGGTGACCCTGATATTCGGGCTGATCGCCGTCTCCCTCATCACCTTCCACTTCCACAAGAGTAAGATGAAGCAGCGGAAAATGCAGAGAGCCCAGGAGGAGTATGAGCGGGATCACCGCAGCCCTCCGGCAGCGAAAGGCTCGTCTCTGGAGAAGGGGAGTGTGATGGTGAGTCCGGCTCCCGAAGCACCAGCAGATGCTCATCCATTCCCCAACACCCCCAATAAAACACACACAACTGACTCCAACTGCGACCCTGGGATTGCACCATCTGTATCAGACCTTCGCTGCACAGATAACACGAGGAGTCCAGTCTCCCAGTCTGTGGTTTTGTAATGAACTCTCTCTTATCTCTCTCTCTGTCTCTCTGTCTCTCTCTCTCTCTCTCTCTCTCCTCTCTATCGCCTCTCTACTGCAGGAAAAAAAAATTAAGGACAGTTGTCTTAAAATACCCTGAACATAAGCATTAGTTTTAAGAGAACGGAATTTTAAAACACACACACACACACAAAATTACAGCGCATGGCAAATCACATTCATTTCGATTGATCCAGCCTCTGGAAATTAAATATTTGTGTTATTTAGAGAAAAAAAAACGAAGACGCACATATAGCAGAAATGTATGTCAGTTAACTTTGGATTACCACTTAGATGTATATTTCGTAATTTTATCGTCTATATGTAAAGTCCGAGGCATCAGGTCGATCTGAGTCGGTGTAGTGTACAGTTTTAAAGGAGCGATCGAGACCTACAGGAGTATAACACAGGGTCACTCTCAGACTCAAACTCAATCGGACTGAGGCGCTGTCAGTTGGCTACAATATATTTGTATAAATAAAGGAAAACATCAAACTTTTTGGTTGCTTCATTCAGATTCCATGTGACTTTCAATTCACTGTTTTTTTTTCCAGAATGGGGCTATACTGTACCTTTTCAGCCGAAATGGCTAATAATAATAATAATAATCTTTGCATTTGATATAGCGCCTTATCACGTCTTTGAGACGTCTCAAGGCGCTTCGCTGGATGTACTGTAAAGTGAACTGACTATATTTTGTGGGCGAAATGCAGAATATTTGAAGTTCAGATTTAAACTCAGAAGGAAAAGGCGAGGGTTAACTTCACTGTCTGGCGTTACAATGGCCAAATCTATGAATCAGAATAAATATAGCATCGTATTGAGTACTCAAATTACTAATCTCAACTTCATTTCAAACTTCAACTTTGTTTTGAAGATGTTTATTTCAAGAGGACGGTACGTTGACTCTATCCTTTTGCTTTTTAAAAAAATCTCTTATCTTTAATATTCCCCTTATTGCGTTTTAAAGTGGGAGTATTTTTAAGCTCCATTCCTTGCTTCGGAGGATAGTGCCATCCTTTATGATAATGCCTTATATGGAAGGAATCAATAATATAGGTCAATAATATGTGCTTTGCAAGTCATGTAATATAAACGCGAGTAGAGGCTAATATTAACGTAGAGATAGGAAGTCTACCTTACCTGATGGTTAGCAGTTAAGGTTTAATAAAGGTTAATTGAAGATGTTGTTTGTAGGACCATTGGTAACCAGTTGGGCACTTCCCAGTATGACACATTATGGTTGGAGAGGGGACACTTCAGGAACGCATCTGAGCCCGTGCAAACTTTTAAAATCATCCCTACCCTGGGAATTATTTTTATTATGTTTCCGTATTAAAATCAATTGATGACAGTGCAAAGCTGTAAGGAAGGGTGTTCAGTGTCAATGAAACATTGCTGTGGTTGCTCCAGCGACTCAGACCTGGTTGGTTTGCCTCCTGGGGTCGTGTTTCCAAAAATAAAATGTCAAGAATCACGTGGAAAATGGGAGGAACCGGGCTGTAAGTTTCGTGGGTTGGACCTGGAGAGAGAAAAAAAAAACCTTCTTTGGTTAGAAAAAGAAATGGAAAAAGAAATCGGGGGGTGATTGAAATTGGTGAGGAATTCTTGAGTTTCAAAAAACACGTATTGCAATGCCATTGGATCCCACCCCACTCGGAGAGGGCTGTTACAACATTACCAGCTGTATTAAATAATTCATTGCGAACCATAAATCGTGGTAGACCAGTCACCTGAGGAAACTCAACAACATCTGGCTGTCTTGGCTTCAGTTGGAGCGACTGCTGGAGTTGCCTGAGCCTTTCAGTGTGGAGCTGTCCTCACTCGGTGGTGCTGAACAGTAAGTTGACCCCCATGAGACAGCCGTCTGTCTGTCTGTCTGTCTGTCTGTCTGTCTGTCTGTCTGTCTGTCTGTCTGTCTGTCTGTCTGTCTGTCTGTCTGTCTGTCTGTCTGTCTGTCTGTCTGTCTGCCTTTGCCAACCAACCAACACGACACATTACTGTACAAAACCAGCATTCACTTAAACAAGGAAAACAAAAGTGCTTTTGCTGCTGTCAGACTTCCAGCTGCTGCAGTCTGACTCGTCGCCTCATTCCCTTTGAATGATTAAACCAGTCCGGAGAAAGGCGTTATTAATAATAATTCGCCGACTGCATTGTAAATACAATGACGCCTTTTTAACATACATCTCACTTGGTTCTCCCATGAAAAGAGACTATTATATTTCCAGAGAGAAAGGGCAGTTCTCTCTGGCTGGGTTGTGTACACGCTTCACTTGCGATCGACAGTGCAGTGTTAGTGTGAAAGCGAACACTGCAATTGAGAGGATACACGTACCCCATTAAAACTGATACCAGATTTATTACCAGACTAACTGAATGAAGTCTGCTTGTTTAATGAATTCTCTCTGGTTTTCTTTTCTGCTTGCGGGCTTCATCCTTTGGATCAACCTGGATCGGAACAATACACAGCGAAATCATTATCATGACTTGTGATGATCAAGGCCAAAAGTATTATTCATCTTCTTCGATTAATTTGAGTCTCCAGGGAAATATTGTAAACATCGATTGCCGGAAAGTACTGCTCTTATGTTTTAAGTACCCCCTGTGCAGCTTAACTAGATTTTTATATATCCATTGATCGTTGCTAAATGAACAGACATCTCTTTTTAAAACAAAATACGTCGTTATTGAAATGCTAACATAGGTTGTGGTACCCATACTGAATCCTGTGGCATGTTGGATAAGGATAATATTCTTAATTCTTGATAAATTAGACATGTTTAAATTAGTAACATTGCAATGGTCTCTTACGACTTCCACAAAGCAGTCTGAAGTCAATAAAACACAACATTTCACTCACTGGAATGGAGGAATTCAGACATTTATATTTCCATGAAATGCAGCTCAGATTATCAAGAGGCTAAATGATGTTGACGCACTATTGACGTTGATACTGTAAAGCGGTTAGCTGGGTATGTCTAAAAATCATTGTTAAAAAGCTTTATTAGCTTTTTTTTACACAAAAAGCCATCAGTGATTAAACATAAATTCAGTTTTGCATTGGAAATAGAAATTCAGCAATGGAGGGGGTTTGTCTATTGGGCAGGGGGTGCTGCCCATACATTTTTGTCTTATTTACCACAATAAAATAATAGGATGTTAAATGTTATTGCATGTGTCACTTTATAAATCACTTTAAACACATCTGCTTGAGTCCCCAAATTGCTACGTGAGTGGTAGTGGAGGGAGGAAGACCAATACACATGTTCTACCCAATGTCGCTCATTACGTTCAGTAACAATCTTCTACAGCTCCTCACAGAAGAATAGTAGACAGTTAGCAGTCTCCTGTTCCTCAGGCAATAACCTGTACTGGTGAAGAATAGATCATCCAGAGTCAGTTAGCTCTGAATATTACCCACAACCCTGATGTGCAGCTGGCTTCAGTGACCGTGTTGACAGTTCCTTGTTACATGGCTAAACCCAAGTTTTGAAAGAGTACCAAGTGGTATACACTTCGAGAGTAGTGAGGATACTTGCTGAGTTTATATTAAAAAATTACTGAATACTTATTCTGTCTTGGTTTTATTCCAGCGCCCCCTGTTCCCACCATCCTTGATGATATAATTACATCGTATGTTTTAACACATTCTCATGTTCAAATCCATTCAGTCTCCCGCACCTCCCTACCTCTCTGACCTCCCGGCGCCTCCGCTCGACTGGCACCAGCCTCCTGCTTGTCCCTCACACCCTCCGCTCCACCATCGGGGGTCGCGCTTTCAACCACTACGCCCCAAAACTGTGGAACACTCTCCCTCAATCCCTCCGCCTTGCCCCCCTCTCCCCTTTTTCAAGTCCCGCCTGAAAACCTTCCTTTTCGACCGCACTTGCGGTCACCTCTGTGCCACATGGGAGGTCTACATAGAGCAAACTGTGAGAGCAGAACATTGGATTTTCTTAGACTCAACACCAATGCTCTTGATAGAAACGGCCTTACTCACTCTCTCAGCATTTCACCTGCAAAATACACAGTCAATCCACTTTACAATATATTTGTTGAAGCGTTTTCAGACATTCAATGACATGATAAGGTGCTATATCAAATGGAAGGATTATTATTCTGTGCCTTGGGACATCCTTCTGACATGAAAGGCACTTTACAAATGTAATGTGTTGTTGTTATTGGGCTGTGCTGATATTTGCTATCGAAAGCTGGGCAGCGAAGAAAAATGGATTTGTTGATACAAGTCACTCTAATGGTCAGTTTAAATTTGAATCAAGTGGGAACACATCTTTCACTCCCCATCCCCCACACCCCCCACATACAATATTAGGAAACAGCCAGTAACAGTAAAAAGGCAGAAGATAACTGTCTCTGTGACATGTCTTGATTTGGCACAAGGATTATCCTCTCACTCTGGTATGCTACAAAGAGCAAAATATGTGAAGTTTTGCACCTGTGAGTCAGAGGAAACAAAGCCTTTATTTCTGATACCTCTCGTTCTCAGATAGGGGAAATTGTATTTCATTTATGGTGGATATTCCTCAAGCCGAACTGCAAGACTTTATTTGGAAAAAGATTAGAGACAAAGGAGCCAGTTACTGAAGTTGCAAATAACAAACAAGTTCTGGCTGGTTTCAGATCACATTGTAACTGAACTACAAATAATCTCAATTTGATTGGTTAATTGATTTACCTTAATACATTCAGGATTTCATGGAACGTCTAAAACATAATTCCTGCTTAACAACAAATGACTCAATATTTGCATAGAAATTATTTTGATATCTATCCAAATGAATGCAAACTTTATTTGTGGCCACATGATTTTCACTCACTTTCAGAATATATTATAATTTGCAAACCAATGAGGAATATTCACACATTCCCTTTCTAATCCATCACATAATACTGATCTCATTAATATATTTCTAATCCATCATTCAATACTAATCTTATTAATATGCGACTTTGAATTTCATTAGATGCTGACCTTAGTATAGTTTCCTAACTTATTCAGTAAGTACTCTCCTGTTAATGCCTAGCTCAGTGAATAGCACCCTTGCCTTTGAGTCAGAAGCTTGTGGGTTGAATTCATCTTGTCTAGGCTGACAAACTAATGGAGTCCTGGGATGCATTGCAAATCGGGGTCTTGTCTACCTGTTTAGATGGGCATTAAAGATCCCAAAGCACTGTTCTCCTAGTGTCCTGGCCAACAATATTCCAGATAAAATTGATCACTCACTTCATGGCAATGTGGAATGTTGCTGTGCATAAATTGGCTGCTGCATTTGCTACAAAATATATACTTTGCAGTAAATCCTTTGAAGAGCTTTGAGATCTCCTGACATGAGAGGTCCTATTTCAAATGCAAGGAATATTATTATTATAAATATTTGATATGTGCCTAAAATGATGGATTCAAACATTGTATTGGATTTACAGAGATAATGTAGACAAGGATAATTTACATTTATTCGCAGATTACTTAT